GAAGAAATTTTAACAATAGACAACTGAGCCAAGATGCAAACAGTATCACATATCTTGCTTCTTGAAACATAAGTCTTGGAAAGTGTCTGCCTCATTCTCTTTTCATTCATTGTTCCTGGCAAGCTGACAGAACTGCCTGATGCACTGTTACAGTAGCTCACCCAAACGACTTCTAATCAGCCACTTAAACATTTATGCATTTCAAAACTCGATCTCAGAACATAATATTAAACGTAAAGACTGACTATTTAAAAGGGGACATTCTTCTATTATACAGATTTCCTTCTTTTCATGCACACTCTACACACACCCCTACCACCCTGAGAAATGTGAAAGCCATTCCATTCAAATGGAGGCTTCCATTCAATGAGGCTTGTCCCCCATATAGGAAAAAACCCCAAATGATTATGACAAAGATCCTGAGTGAGTCATAAGAGAATGCCCTTCAATTGTAGAAGCATGACTAACATTTGAATATGGTGACTGTTACACAAGCAAAGTAAAACAGTTTATTTGGTTGATTCCAAAATACAGTCATCTATTTTTCCATACCCCAAAATTATAAATGTGAAGAGTTGTTCACATCAATAAAAAGGCTCTCTTACTTTTTCACATACTGTTGATAATTCCATTCAGAAAATGGGCAAAAAATAATGGAAAATAGCAAGTAGCACTCGTTCCATAATTCCTGCTTATACCGATGTTTAAAAACCCACACAAAAATCTTAAGTTTTTTACATTTTAATCCAACTCACACCACTTACTTTTGCTCTATTTAATATTTTGAAAATAAAAAGTGCTGGTTGATAAATGTGGTAAGTGCATTAGATATATGCATTCATTTTATTATTTAAAAAAGCAACAAATACTGCTTGTGAGAAAGAGAAGACTTTTTTTTTTTTAAAGTGACATTTAAGTCAAGCATTAAAAGATAATGAAAGTCTGTCACATGGAAAAGAGTACGAACCATATATTTTTATTCTTTGCCCATTGCATGGCCAAGCTCTAGGCACTCAGAGCAGCAATATCAGTGATCATGGTTACTTGTCAGCTTATTTGTGGCCCTCATTAAGGTAGTTTTTACTCAAGTGTAGGACCTCTACATATTTTTCTTTATATACTTGTATTAAGAAGGCATTCGACAAAAAGTTTTCCCTTCAAAAATGTTTTTCTTATAAACAATTAGATTTTGACTCATCCTCATTGATAAAAACTACAAAATGGCCAACATTCCATTTTTCCTAAAAAGGGAGAACTGCCAAAGAAAAGATCTATCAAAACATTGGCCCGCTCCCTCCAAAATTTCTTGGTCTTATTATTGGAATGCAATGTCTCAGATTTGATATTTAACTTTCAGTTTTTCAACATAAACCAATAGATAGTGAAGACATATGACCCAGAAAAATATTGAGTCTGATACAATCTGCTGGGGAAAAGTTATGCACTAGCAATAAATAATTAGAACAAAATTAGGACATTTGTGGGAAAAGCGTCAACAAGCTCCCGTAAATTTGTCTGCTTCTAAGAGAACACCATAGTCAGAAGACCTATAGATCTAGACACCACCACTAATTATCTTTGTCACCTCAGGAAACTCACTCAGGTTCTGAGGTCCTGTTCTCTTCTCTGTGAAGTGAAGACACAGGACTATTGGGAGCATTAGACAAGGAAGGTAAGAAACATTGATATCCCATAGTAGTTTCTTAATTAACACACAGCCTCTTAAACAACCGCCTTCCCTCAAGAGTACCCTGTCCACCCACCTGTCTCAACAGAGGAAACTCCAAATGAAACAGAAAAAGATCCTATGTAAAGGAAACACATTCACTGTCTTTTCCCATTGATAAGGCTAGTGGCCTAGCAACAAAGATAATTAGACTGAATGTGGACATGTGAAAGCAAGAAATACCTTACAATTTATTTTTTTGCTCCCCTCATTCATGAAAAATTTTCCCATACCAAATTAGCTGTAGCAAAATGAGTCTCATGTTAGATGGCTATCCCTCACTGATTTAACTGCACTCTGGTTTGGGGACATGAGGGAAGGATGGCCATGTGTATTTGCTGATGTCGACCGGACAAAGCTCACCCAGTCAGGCAAAAGAAAGTGTTTTTCCAGAGAAAATGGTGTTCTCCATTTACTACCTCCAGAACTAAAGCTGCTTTTACTCATTCTATGCTCTATAAAAGGCTTTTATTATATACCTCCCTCCTTTGTAATACAGCCCCCCTTTTTGGGGAAAAACCTGCAGTAATAAGCAAGCTAGTCTTTTAACAGAAGATAAACAGAGTGCAGTGAACTTAAAACCACTCTATTTTGTTTTACCCAACCACACAGCATTCTGTATTGCTTTCATTTCTTTTCTTTCCATTTCTGTTAATAGTTGTTTTTAAAGAATTAGAACAGAAGCAGGTCAATAATGCCTACAGATGTTACAAAAGTATTAGGCCATATTCAATGTAGAGAAACATGTAAACAGTTAATGGGCTGTGGTAATTTATAATCCTTCTTTACCAAATGCATTTTACCTATAATTCCACTTGCATAACAGATGGTTCGCTTAAAACCTCACTGCAGAAAGTGGCTCTTAGTTAAACAACCATTGTCACCACCAACAATAGATGTCTATAGATGTTTATACACTATGTATTTTTAGGGCACTGCTAGGTCTACAAGTAAGCAAGAATTAAAGAAAAAACAAACAAAAAATTTAATTTTCTTCCTCTTATGTTATTCATTTTTTTCTATATCCTTCTTTCTCTATCATATGGAAGACACCTGCTTGCTTTTCCGTCTCCTGCTTCTAGATTAAGTCAAAGCGTTCTCCTGAACTAATCCCTCCAACTTGCTTTGTTCTTCTCTTGTACAGGAGCAGATATGAAAAAGAATCAATAGCTGATAAATTTTCAGCTTCTTTGTCCTCCCAGGGCTGGAGGATAGCTGAGTATCTTAGGGAAAGAGGCTCAAGTTGTCTGGACTAAGCACCATTCATTAGATTCACTTTGAAATTATGGGGCATCAGGGACCCGGGATATAAGCACAACATCCTCACCTGTTTATATCCTCATGACATCTATGATTTGGTGTGGTTATGGCCTCAGAATTAGAAGTCTTCTGTTTTCTGTGACCTTCTTACCATATCACAGATGCAAGCACCAGCCACCTTCCACAATGGATATTTTCCTCACCCTTACCTACCATTTCCTGAATTGTCCAATGAAGGGAAGAAAGGAAATGTAAGATTTCACAGAACGCCAAAGATTTATTTACAAAAGAGCAAAGGAGCCTTAAAACTAGGTGAAAAACAATCTAAAAGTCCATTATAATCTTCTTTGAACGAGAGTACTTACCACTAATATCACCAACCCTACAGCTATATAGGTAGCAAACTAATATGAGTGAAAAAGTTAAATATGATTCTTAAGAGTCCAATATATAATACCAAATATGCCACAAGTTTTACAAATATTTAGCTTGCTGCCAATTTTTATTTCAGCTCTTGCTCTGAGATTTTAAAGATGAGGTTTCACAATTTATGGGAATGTTGACCACCTTCTTTAATAACCACTAAGGACTTATTTTATTAATTTTCCACTAAGGACATTATGTTTTTAAATATTTGATCTATCAAAGTAATCTTTTAAAGTACATTTTGTTTGTATCTAAAAACAAAAATGAACAGCTCTGCTTCCTCTTCCATTTTTCATTTTCTATTCAGTCCCTCCACTTTTCTGACCTTAGCCTGCCCTTACCTTTGTCTCCTCCCTAAATTTATTTTTTTTTTAAATGCCAAAACACACAAACAAAAAAACATACATATGTATACGAGATGGGACTCCCCCCCTCAAAAAAAATGGAATTATCTTTTGGAGGGTGAGCCCTTAGTAGTACACTCAGAATTTGTTACTCTGGGTCAAACCAAGGTTTTTATCTGAAGTTTTGAGAAGGCTGCATCCTGATTTACAGAAGAAACATCCCGAGTTGTGGCAAACAGGTGGCTGGTTGTTCCACCATGACAATTCACCTGCCCATACCACTCTGAGTGCTCAGCAGTTTTTTGACCAAAAACAGCATGATCCCCATGCTCCACCCTCCGTATTCACCCAATCAGACCCCAAGTGACTTGCTGTTGTTTTGCTTTCCCTGGACGAAAAAAGTCCTCAAAGGGAAATGTTTTGCCAATGTGAAAGAGGTGAAACAAAAAACGGCAGAAGCACTAGAAGGCGTCAAAACTGACAAGTTCAAAAACTGTTTTGAATAGTGGAAAAAGCAACTCAATAGGTGTATTGCATCAAATGGTGCCAAAAATTAAACATGTTAAGAATAAATACACAATCTTTTATAAATAAGTTCTGGTTTTGGGGGGTCCCCCTTGTACATAATTAGCAAACATTCATAAACCCTAAACAGGCATTTTCAGTGACAAAAAAGAAGGGTAAGTAGAATTCAATTATTTAACAATTAGAAAATAAAACTGACAGAGCCCCTGAAAACATTCATTTGACTTCCTCATCGTTACACTGGTGCTTTGCAATTTCTGGTACATAATTCATAGAGACAGAGGAAGCAAACATACAGAAGGTTTATATGGAGGTGTTTGGGCTAAACACCAACAACTAATCCCAAAGAGTTCTCTCCAGGTCTAATGTGTCTAGGTCCCAAAAGTACAGGTATCAGGACTTCAATTCCATCAACAGAATCCCAAATCTGACTGTTAAGAAAAAAGTATAGTTCTTGGGAACTTGAGTTGCTTGGCCTGGTGCCTTGCTGCACATTTAGCCATGTGGTTAATCTCCCAGAGCTTGCCTACTGTGGCATGCCTGCTATTCTTTACCATCTGGAGCCTGGAGTTGATATTAGCTTGAACCACACATGCAAGAGAAAAAGGAAAAAAAAAAAAAGCTCATTCACATTTAACTGAAATTGGTAGCTAAACAATGCACTATGCCGCCTGGGCTTTTACACATGTAAGAAAGGGGGGAAAGGGTAAAGTACAAACCTTCTCCTTTGTTTTCTGGTTCTCTGCTCTAAGGTCTTCATATTCGCCTATTGCTATATTAAAAAAAAAAGAAGAAGAAGAAATAAACATTACAACACTATCAAAAGTTTATTGTAGGAAAATCTGGGAACCCAACTAACCCCCACTGTCTATTTACTAGGTTGAGACAGAGTAGAAAAGAGGCTGCAGAAAAACTTTTGCTTGTAAGAGTAAGGAATAAAAAGCGGTCATAGCAGATGGGAGCCCTCAAAGCTGAATTTCAGTTCCCCTCCAAGTCATTAGGAAGACCCATGAGTCACATGTCACAGGAGACCTGTGACAATTCAGTTCTCTTCGATGCTCAGCACTTGGTCATGTGAAAGGATTCAGGTGGGTGTCCCCTGACATTCCTACCAGCACCATTAGTCTGCAGTGCTTTAATCAGAGGTTTATGTAGAAAATCAGCCTCTAGAAAGTAAAGTAGGTTTGCCCATTTAACTTCATGTCACACATCTGCTTCACCTACAGAGCAAAAGGTTTATGCTATGAGCATTCAGTTAAGAACAACTATTTTCGGACAAGATTGTCAATCACCAAGCCATGACCAGAAATCAGACTCATTTCAGTAAATGGAGAGTATCTGTAAACCATTTGGAAATATTAACAACTATGTAGAGGGGAAAAGGTTTCCACTTAAAATTCTTTTTTACTCGAAAAATAAAATAACCTAAACCTCTGCATTCATCTTTTAGTCAAAGCCCAATCTTTAGGCATCCTCACATTAGAAATATAAAGTTTAGAGCCTATCAAGCGAAAAGAAGGAGAACGACCTAAGAGCAATGATGGAGCAGAACATTTAGAACTGCTAGTCACCCCCAGAGGCAACACTCTGACTGGCACCAGAGAGTCAGTGAACCATCTATCAGGTTGAAAACTTTCATCTTTAAAAAGTTTAACTGGGATTCTTCTACTAAAAAACCTCAGTTTTTCTTTAAAAGAAGAAGAGATAAACAGAGCTTCCTATTTCTGTAAATATTCTGAAGACAGAAATACTATATCTGAAGCCAATGACTTTAAGCATGTCCAGATAACCTGGTAATTAATTCTAGCAATGTATGATTCTAACCACTTGGACAGAACAGCCCAGAGAGTAGACAATTAACATGGTTAAAAAATACAAGCAGCTGAGGTGAGTGGATTGCCTGAGCCCACGGGTTCGAGACCCGCCTGGGCAACTTGGCGAGACCTCATCTCTACAATAAATCAAAATGAGCCGGGCGTGGTAGCGTGCGCCTGTAGTTCCAGCTACTAGGAAGGCTGAGGCAGAAGGATCGCCGGAGTCCAGCAGGTCGAGGCTGCAGTGGCTGGGAGCGGCCACTGCACTCCAGTCTGGGTGACAGAGTGAGACTCCAACTCAAAAAAAAAAAAAAAAGTACAAGCATTGTTTCCTTCCACAGTGATCCAAAGGGTTCAGAATAGCTACTGTGATGCAAGTACCGAAATCTTAAAATCCAATGTAAATTGACACATATTTATAGAATTACACCATCAATGTCTAGAAGTTTTATTAGCACACCATGACTAATTAATAATTACCAAACAATTTTATTGAAGCCACATCCCAAAAGAATCCTTGAAAATTAGTCCATGAAATAGATGCATATGTACATGTAAAGATAGAACTATTTTGAAAATAATTACATTTTCAACAGAAAAGATTTGATTGACCACAAAATGAAGCCCTCTGCACACCAGCTACTCATCAGCCCCCATCACACACACCCCAACCACTGGGTATAAACTACATTGTCTTCAGATCTGAAAAACCAATGAAATGTGCTCTCTTTTTTTTTTTTTTAACAGAAAGAAACAAGAACTAAGTAAGAGCTTCTTAAAATATGTACCTACATCATAGGGTAGTCTGTGATCATGGTCCCAAACTGTATTACTATATCTAATATATTCAAAAAATAAATATATAAATATTTTATTGAGAGACTTGCATTTAGGTTACTTGACTTTAAAAGTATCTATAAAGATGAAAAGTTAAAATTGATTTAACACTATTATGAGTGACCTACTTTATAGATATACAAAACAAACAATAAAGGCTTATAAAACCATGATCTTATATTGACATAAAGAAAACTTTTTCTATTTAAAAAATCAGATAATGATTTTGAAGACTTTTTAAAAATACCAATACTATTCTTCCATTATACTGCCAATAGAACCTAGATGAAACATCATAGTCTCCCAATTACTGTCTTTGTGAAAAACATTAAGAAACTTTCACTATCATACTTTAATGGAAATCACAGAAAATATGCTTTCTTATGATTATGTGTAACTTAAAAAAAAAAGCAAAGTACAAGGAAAGGAAAGAGAAAGTATGGGAGGAATTTACCATTTGGTAACAGGAAGGAAGTAACTGGGAGGGAGCACAGCAAAATGTTTGCTTTTATTTCTTTAAAGTTAAAAAACCAAACAACATTTACACACACACACACACACACACACACACACACACACAGACACCACTGTGGAAATGTAACCATCCTCAGCAAAACTGACAAAAACCACAGTGACCTATATTATTCAGCTACTTTGTTTGTGGCAATGTTAAGGAGTCACAGAGAAAGCCTTCTTATTGTTTCAAAACAGCTCACAGCCTGTTTTTCGAAGTGTGTGTGTATAATTCAAAAATTTTTCGAAGTGTGTGTGTATAATTCAACTGATTTGATGAGACAAATCCTCCAAATCCTGAATTAACCAATGCAAAAGAAGAGATGAATCTGACCAACTATCTGCCATATGAAAGACATCAGAGCTTGAAAAGATTAATCTCTCAGGTTTACAGGTTTAGTATATTTCACTGTACTGTAAGGTAATATAGGACAGTAACCTAATCCCAGTCTGAGCACATACTGCCTAGAAGACCTGGGAAAGTTAATTTCTCCCAGTCTCAGGTTCCTCATCTGGAAAATAGAAATAACAATTGTATATCTCATAGTTATACTATTAAGAATAAATGAGTTAACATGTATAAGAGCATCTGGGCATAGTAAGTGTTTAAAACATGTTAGCCATGGTTATTATTACCGATAATGCAAAGTACACATCAAGTCTCGTATGCATGACAAAACATATTAAGCTGTTCCCTAATGCCTTCAGCCTTCAACTTACTTTTGTTCCCATGGACTGAGGGATGGTAGACTGGAAAAATTATTGAAACCCAGGGTACTGCTATCCTCTACCAAATAATGGGAGAGGAAAGGAGGCTAAAGACCAACCGCAAACAGTTACAGCAAAGAAAGGTAGTAAAGAGGTAAAAGCACATCTGAGAGTTATACTTGTCAATCCCGACTGCACATTAGAATCAACTGCAGAGCCGGGCTCGGTGGCTCAGCCTGTAATCCCGCACCTTTGGGAGGCTGAGGTGAGTGGATTGCCTGAGCCCGCGGGTTCGAGACCCGCCTGGGCAGCGAGACCTCATCTCTACAATAAATCAAAAAATCAGCCGGGCGTCGTAGCATGCGCCTGTAGTTCGAGCTACATGGAAGGCTGAGGCGGAAAGATCGCCAGAGCCCAGCAGGTCAAGGCTGCGGTGGCCGGGAGCGGCCACTGCACGCCAGTCTGGGCGACAGAGTGAGACTCCAACTCGAACAAAAAGAAAAGAATCAACTGCAGAGCTTTTAAATAGCACAGATGCCATGTCCCCCCACCCCAAGATTCTGATTTGACTAGTGTGGGGTGGAGCTTGGGCATCCATACTGTTTTTTTAGAAGTGAGTACCCCAGATGATTCTTATGTGCAGTTAAAGTGGGAAACCACTACATAACAGTAAAGAATGGAAGAAAAAGGAAGATGGTGGAGAAAACAAGGAGAATATCAGGCAGAGCACGTGTTTCAAGAATCATGCTGATTTTCTATTTTCTAACTCCTCAATGCCAAGAAAAGAAGTTTTCTTTCCAACCCGCAAATGACAACATAGCCAGTCCAGGAGGCAACTGAGTATAGGCGTAGTTGTTTCAGAAATATGACAACTAAAGTTAATAACTGCAAGCAGATAACACCCTTGGCTAGGGTTAACAACAATCATGGTTTTGCCTAGGATTTTGTCAATTTTAGCATTGGAAGTCCAGCATCCTTGGAAACCTTCCAGTCCCAGGTATACTAATCAATCACCCTCCTTCTAGCCCTAGCTCCAGACTAGTATTTCCAACCAATACTTACTAGACCTGCACTGTTCAATATGGTAGCCATTAGCCACACATGGCTATTCAAATTTTAATAAAATTAAATAAAATGTAAAATGCAATAGTCATATTTCAATTGCCACATATGGCTAATGACTACTACTATACTGGACAGAGGACTCAACATTTCCAACACAGCAGACAGTTCTGCTAGCCTGTACTATTCTAGGCATCCCTGTCCAGATGTCCTGCAAGCATTGCAAACCCAACATTTAGAAAATGAGTTCATCAACTCCCCTTCATACAAACTTCCTATTTCCTGTATGAAGGCTAACCTTTCATTGGTGTCATAATCTACCCAATTGTCAAGCTGATATTCACAGGACCACCCTTGAGTCTCCACTTTCTTCTTCCCCAAAGAATCACTGAACTGCTCAAATCTCTAGAAAATGTTTCTCCAATCCACCCTTCCTCTGCATCTGTTATCTCGGCCCTAATTTATACCCTCAATAATACAAAATCCTGCTATCCAGCTCTAGTTTCTTGATCCCAAGTGCATTTTTACAGGGCAGTTAACTTAGCGTACTGATAAAGTAAGTTGGTTATTTCGTTTTCTTTTTAAAAATCCTCCAAAGACCTTACCTTCACAATCTGAAATCCCACTCTACCGCCCACCATTCAGCCTCAGAGGACACAATCCACTCCATCACACTCCAAGTCCCAGTGCTTCCCTAAACCTTCCAAGACCTTTATACTTAGATGCCTCTGAAAATGTTTTCACCTCTACCTGCAAAGTCTTCTCCATCGTCCCTACCTCCTTCTTTTCAATGCTGTTATTTCTTCTAAGAAGTCTTCCCCACACACCTCAGACAAAA